ATCTGGAAATAATTTGGGATCATTAGTACGTTTTTTTTTGATATATCACTTTGGATAAACAGAGGGCTTTTAAATATCGTAGGTGACATTTCCATTAAATTGATATCCTGACTTCCAGGCATTTCGACCACAGATTCTATCTTCTTCATACAACTAGGTTTCGGGCATTTTGGACTAATTTTAATAGAACTTTCGATACAATCATAATGATATAAGTAGCCACAGGTAAGTAAAATAATTGGTTTTTTTATTTCATATAAAAAAAGTTCTTGGTTGTATAATGAACATAGATCTAGTTCAGGTATATTAATATCACTTGCAATTTTTTCTGGAAATGAATTTTTAAGAACATTTAATGCAAGTATTTCGAGACATGCGATATTTAGAAGCGTGGCATATTCAAGAGCAAAATTTTGCTTGAGAAGTTAGTTATTATGGGCTGTAGCCAGATAAGTTTTTATAACAAAATTTCTTTATACTTAGCTTGTTTTATATTGTATTCCTCATGAATAAAAAAATAAAATTTGATACTAATATCAGATTTGCTAATCTGTTTATTCACGAATTAATTAGTATGAATATGGATTACCCATTTAGTGGCAATCTCGATGATTCACCAATTGACAATTTATTATCTAAATGAAAATAGCAATGATTCAATTTAGATAGAAAAAATAGATTAGCAAAATTATCAGTACGAATAATTAGTGAAAAAAAGAGAAGTATACACTTCATAGATTTTTATTTTACTTCGACACTTTCTATCTGTATTAAAAAATATATTACTTAATTGTGATTTCAAGAATAACATTAGGAAAATGGTAGACAACTAGCAATCACTGTTCCGGGCTGTTGATCTAGCCAACCACTTAACCTTTCTCAGTCGTGCCCTTCTTTGTTGCTTATAAGGAACCGCCTTTCGCTTTTTTACTATTTCAATCGAATCAGATTTTTCAGATGAATCGGAGGAACTCTTACCTTTTTCATTAATGAGTGTGGAAACTATTTCATGTATTAAGTCAACCACAGTCTCTCTATCTACACATTCGTCCAGATCTTCTAATTCATTTTTTTAGGTTCCCACATCTTTTTCTAATCTTTTTACCATTTTTCTTAAGCTATTATATTCGGAATGATAATCATCCAGTTTTTTATCTAATGCTCTAATTTCTCTAGAAAGCACACTATACACTTTCGAATTTTGCTCATCTAATCCAGATATCCGGGCTATTTTCTCTGTACATCTGATAATCTGGTCGCTCATAGACTGTGCAATATTAGATGGATGCTTTTGATCAGTTATTTCTATTCCGGTCATTTTTTATATGAAATATATATTGTTTCAAACGAAAAAATAAAATTAATAATTGATACCAAACCTTTTATATGTGATCAGTTTTTATTGGAGAGCTTGAATGCCTTTGCCTGATTATAAGGTTGTCCCCTCCTTCTGAAATTAATTATAGTATATCTATCAGATGAAGAAGCATGATTGTCAGAACTGTGCCTTAATGCTTCACTGACAAAGGTATTGGCCTCTGATAAATTCTTTGTACTATGCATTACAGATGCAAATATCGATCCTAGCTTGCGCAAAGAGCTAGGAAGTAGTGGCTTATAAGGTTTGAGAATAAATTCATTTTTTTTCAGAAATGTACTTAAGTATGAAGATCCAAGCTTTCCTGGATCCCTTAACTGTCCAGAAACGATTGCTTCCTGGATTCATGTAAGCAATTTCTTTGCCCGCTCTTCATTCTTTTCAAGTGATCTAAATACACGAGGAATATCTTGTTGACCCTGATTTTTTGCATATCTAGTTACACCTCCATTAGTTATGCGTAAGTTTTTAATTTCAGCAGGACGAATACAGAGCATGATCATTATATCAGCCAAGGTCTGTTTATCGGGTGTATTTGACACATTATAGAGATCTAGCCTTTCCTTAACCGATTCTAATGAGAAGTGGTCTGGGAAATCAATCACTTCATTTTTACGTTTCTCACTATGCTCTTTTTAGATTTTATTAGATGATCTGGTTATTTCTGGATTCATTGTAGCAGAAATTATTGTTTCTTGGATATTGAGGGTTCGCAATTCTCTTCAAAGTCTAGAGAGATGGGATAATGCAACAACAGGATCGGAGGCTGTTTTGACTAAGGTTCTAGAAATTGCTTTTACATCTCTTTCGCTAAGTTTATCTTGTATAATACACTGGGCTATTTCTTTAATAGTCTTCTTAGAACAAGTACTATCAGATACTTGACATATATTCATTTCCTCAGCTTCTAACCCTGGTCCTTTTGAGACCGATGCTTGACTTTTGCATCGCCCAACTCTCTGTAGAGGAATTAATGCAAATGCCTGCTCTTTGCTAAACTTATATCCTTTTTGAAGATGATCATGAGCCTGATGTCTTTTTTCTTTATCTACTAGTGGCATACCAGTTGTCAAGAGCTCAAGTATTTCTGGCGCATATTGGCTAAGCTCTTTGAGACTTGTCTCATTGGTGAGTTTGTGATCTGTGCCGAATTTGGTTGTAATGGCAAACATGATGTGGTAAGTAGAATATAAGGTGAGTGTTAGATTAATCTGTAGTCTTTAGATTATATATTCTAGGAAAAAAGTTCAATTCGAAAAAAATATTCCACTATATATGAACTCCTGCTCATAATCGGTAAAGACTAACAGAGGGCTAAGAAAGGGAAAAAAATACTTGGGTCTCTATAAAGTCGCTCGCTTTAGCCAAAAGGATATTTACATTGATTTGAATTTTATATGTAGTTATGATATGCGAAAAAATATAACCTTGGAATGGTGGTTCCGTAGCTATATACGAATTTATATCACATTTTAGTAGAGTGTTCGTGCCTGAGCTAATATATGTTTTGGCCCCAAAACATTTGCCTCGATGAATGCATCATATAAAGTGCCCGGTCTATGTTTCGAAAGAGCTAAATTTGGGTAATGGAGAAATTTTATGAGAATATCATTTCTCCAAGCCCTCGTTTTTTTACTATTCCAGTCGATTTTTAATAACTAGTTTATATCACTATCATTATATACTTTGAGTAAAATCTGTAACAAACTTACTTTTTCATTAATTAACGTAAGTAAACTTTTTTTTAGATCATACGCGATTATATTAGATATAAAAGAAAGGTACTCTCTCAATATTGGCATTTCATTGAATAGCGGAATCAAGAGACTTTCCTCTTTCCAATGCATATAGCCTTCACGTAGCAATTTATTATATGCTGATCTATTTATAATGATCATGCGATTAGTTTTGGGATTAAAGATTTTTTTGTGAGATTTATCTGTCGGTTGATCTAATATATCCATAGCATAAGTATGAAAAGTCATAAATGACTTAACTTAATACTGAATAATTTAAATATACATTTTATTATAAAATTAAAAGTGAAGAAGGTTTTATATCCTAAAATACTTACATGGATCGTGTTACTTGCCGGTATATCAAGAGAGACAGTTCTATTTGTGGAGGAGTCTGTACTTGTACTACTGGTTGTTCAAGGCACTGGAAATTATATAAAAAAAATATGAAAAAAAGACCATGCCTTGTTTGTGAATTTCCTACTGATGCTGATTCGGGGTATTGCTCCAAATATTGTTCCAAATATTCTGCAAAGTTTCATGCAATGAATTATCAGATGAAGCAGAAGAGTAGGGGTGCGAAAAAATAATAATATAATCTACACTCTGACCAGAAAAATGTTTACATCAATTTAAAATATGCAAGTAGATTAGATAAGTGAGAAAATATAGCCTCGTAATTCGGCTTATGTTAGATAGCAAATAGCAAAGTAAAAATAATAATTTTTAGATTTTTATATCGCCTAGTTGTAAAGAACATAAACTGGCTTCTTATTCACTCTTTACCAAAGCATACTATTCTCCTGAAGTTTACTTATTATTTTTTTCTATTTCTTATTGATGTCGAACCTACTATAGGTAACCATTCTCTTAGAGTACACTAATACCTTTTTGCTACTCCTCATCATTATAAACATATGCTCAGGGTTTTTTAGCATCTTCGAAGTTACAGAGATATATTTCTTTACTTATTAGCCTTTCCCTTCTGGACATGTAAAATATCTCATTTACGTCTATATCATCTTCTTTTACAAATTCGATGGCATCTGCATCTGACATCATCCTGTCTCGATATTCCCGGGATAATCTAACGTCTTTTTCTGTGATAGTTATGAATACATCTGGGTCCTCACCATGATTGGTGGCCCATTTTCTGAGGCGCTCTTCACGCTAAGTTCGGGTCAAAAGTATAGCAAACGATACTTTATTACTAAATTTAATGGGCTCAGATGGCTTACTAGTTTTGGGTTCAATTACTGACTCAGAAGCCTTAGTAGTTTCAGATGTTCCAGATATTGAGGCAACTGGTACTTCAGGGTGTTCCCTCACAAAATTGAAAAGGTCTTGGAACGATTCAATTTGGTTATCTATTTTCTTACCACTGAGGGGAGACACAATCTTTTTTAACTAAGACGGGATACTTTTGGAGGAATAATTTTTGGTATATTGAATGTAGGTATGTCTAAGGTCTCATTTGTAGGTAGGACATCTTGGAGCATATCAGAAAATTTTTCGATATCACCTACTGTTTCACGTATTTTAGCTACGATTTTGGGATGGTCAAGAATATATACCCATTCCCTTTTTCTACTACTTGCTCGTACTTGTTTGCCCTCAATACCAATATCTGAAAATTTCTTCCCAGTAATGTTATTAGAAAATGGCTTTTCACCATTATCCCCACACCATTCAAGATACTTCTGATATAATGATGTACGACTTGGGCTGGCTACTTTATCTTCATCCCAAGATGCAATATAGTCAATTATAAATCGAACAGGATTAGGAAGCTGGTCTCGCATTGTTTCTATCTTCATTTTGGTTAAAGGAATTTTATGTGGCTTCCATCCTAAAAGATTAAGATTAAGCAAATATGCCATAAATAATCCTGGTGTATCAGGGTGCTCAAGAATTCCTCCTAACTGATCAAAATATATGAAATTACTTTTATAGCGAGAGGAGACATCTAAATATACAATATGCCCATCTTCTATTTTCACTCGAATTGTGGCATCATGATTACTTAAAATCATAAATCCAGCATAGTGATTACAATCTTGAGATTCAAGGCCTTTACGCTTAATCGAGACATAGTCTTCTGTAATGAGGGCTTTTAAATGATCATTCACCTTATGCCATTCACCACTAGCCATCTCCGCTTCATTCATAATAATAAGTTTTCATGCTTGGATAGGGCTATTAAATCGTCCAAGAATCTTTTCAAGATTAGAGGTCGAAAATACAAGGTCTGGCCCGAATAAGCTTTTTTGAATAAAATCGGTGATAATATTCTTTCTACATCGTGGTGGAGAGCGTAAAACAAGAATTGTCCCAGAAATTATACTTGGATACTGAACTAGGAATGCAAGCTATTTTAGAACATATTCGAAAAGATTTTTATCTCCATTGCACCAGATATTTTCTATATGCCAGACGATGGGTTTTACAAAATCATAATTAATATGGGGTGCTGGCTTGGCCTTGAATCCTAAGAAAAGATTAAAGAATTCAGTTTGGGTGGATTAACATTTGGAGGGTATAATAGAAAATTAACATCATCATAATGTATTACACCACCAGTAAGAGCATGATTGATTAAAGATGTTAATTTTATCGCCTCACCCCTAAGTTTTATTATATTAATTGTAAAGTTTGCAATATCTAGTTTAGGCCCCATATTAAACATAAGTCCACCATTTGGATTCCTATGTTTAAGAATCCATGTTTTTGTTTTCTTTTGAACACAGGCGATCATTGCTTGAATCGCTTCGTAGACATCTATACAAGAGAATTTTTTATCTAAGGTATACATTCGCAATAAGTCAGCCCACACAAAGTGATCATTGGGATCTGAAATTCTGGATCGGTCTAGTTTTGCGGGACTTGAAAGCTTTTTTTCTCTATCTAAAGCTGTTTCATTAATGGTAAGCTTTAACGAAGAGTTTCTCACGCCAGGCTGTTTTCTTGGTTTGCACGATAACAGAAAAAGCTATAAGATTTTTTATTTTGTATAATATATGTATTATCACTTGTGTGTTCCTGATCACATAATGGACAATATGATGGAGAAATGCGTGATAATAAAAATTTATCAGAGAAATTTTCTGATGAAAATAAGAGATTATAGCCTTCAATGACGGCCTCTTTAAGTAATGTCTCTACCAACTCGGATCAGCTTCAGTAGTAATATTACTCATGGTGAAGCATTTTTTTCTGCTTATATTTTCTGAAACATCTAAGAAAGGGCTTTTTATAACCTCTGATTCATCATTGGCCAGCGAATCATGAAGTCAAAGATTGTTCCATCTTTTGGATGGACAGCTTTTTTTACACAAACATGTTCTTTTGTTTCTTCTTTATATTTAAGTGAACCAAGCATTCTTAGAGAAAAAGATCACTTATTTGCGATATTATCAATTATACCTTTTCTCTGCAATCACACCAGAAGTTTCTTACGAACAAGTTCAGTGAACGTGGCAATCTGAGTGATATTTTTTAGCCTCATACCAGAAGTAAAAATGTAGAGAGATATTTTTTTCACATCACTACTAGTAGCGATGGTTATACTTTTTTTATCCCACTTCAGATATATTTCTAGACAAACATCTCTAAAAGCTATTTGAATAGCTTTATAGGCTTCTCTACGCAAAACTTTAGGAGTAATAACATTTAGCGTTTCTATTAGCAAATCAAAATCTATAATAGGGCAAAGTGGCTTATCATCATCAATAAATTCATGGAAGGGGTGGTCCTCACGATCTGAAAGTATGGCTTCTATTCTATCCTTATTGTCTGCACCAAAGAAGTGCCTCAGTCTAACACTATCATCCTAAATTTTATATAGGCATTGACCTACATCGGAAGCAACCCACAATAGTATGGGGTGGGCCATCCAAATTCTCTAAAAGCTCAGATTGGATCATTTTTTATCAAGCAATTTAAGGTAATTTATAGTTATTATTCGTAAGAAAAAAGTTTAAAATAAAATTAATTCCTCAAGATTATTAATTGATATACACAAATGTAATTTTATAATTGTTCATATATCCTTAGGACTGGAGAAGTGTGTAATCAAGGATACTATTATCCAAAGGGATGTAAAATCCATCAGAATTCTAGACAAGTTCTTTGCAAACAACCCGGGTGCAGTAAATGGACTAATTCTATATATAATTTTTGTGATAATCATACAAAAAATTATAGAGCGAAAGAACACTACCAACAGAAAAAGCTGGCTAAGCTGGCTGATAGGTTCACATAATGAACCCTACTCAAATAGTTTCAGGCATATTAGGATATAAAATAGGTCAGATTTTTTGTTATCACAAGTGTTACAAGTAAGAATTCAAACTTGTGACACAAACGATAGGCTCTTTAAGAATCCTAGGCCAAAAGAAAGCTTTCTCAATATGTGTCACAGGTGTCACAGGTGTCAC